ATGTATTCTAAATAAATCCTTTGCGGATTATAAAAAACGACTAAAAGTGATTAAATAGATAGCAATTGTTATGCTATTTAATACAGGTAAATCTAGTGAAGGGATACGTATGGATTTGAAAGCCACGGTATCTGATTCGCGATTCAAGCAGGTCAAAATTTAAATTCCGCTAGTTCATTATTCATTATAACTGTGTTCAAATTTGCTAAATAATATATGTACTAGTCCATTATTTATTTCCAAACCAGTATTTTACGTTTTACTAAAACTTTGAGTTTAATGTAGCATGTGCAATATTTTTCTACTCTATTGTAAACTATTAATACTAATCACCCTGTATAATCAGTAGTCTCAATGTGGACTGGATAAGTAGTGCTATGATAATGGCATTAATTATGATTCTCATATAAATTGAATCCAATAATTTAAAATTTCATTAAAAACTTTTTTAAATTTTATTTGCATTTTGTTCATTATATCCCAGAAATATGCGTGTACAAAGCCGTCTAATAACCACGCCCTGTTTGGGTTGGAGTCAGCGAATATCAGGTATGGAGTGAAAGAATTATGAAGAGAGATCAAATACATTTGATGATTACATCCATTTTATATCTTGCAGGAGCAGTCTAGAGGATGAAGGAAGTGATTAGGCCGACATTAAATCTTACAACTCCTACAATCGCCTTAACTCCAAGTCGCATAACAAGATCCTTGGGTTACTTCCTGACACCACTTCATATAGCAGGCTAGCCTGCAAACACTGCAGGCCGTATTCGAAATTTTTTCTTGCTGCGATGGACGATTGCTGCGTGTCCATCGCGGTCAATGTCTGTGACCCTGCTTGTGGATAGTGCAGGTTTTGTGATAATCTGGGACGCAATATGTGATAGGAATCGAAAAAATTTCCACCTTTTCAGTGCCTACACTTAGTTTTTTTATATTCACCTAATCATGAATTGCTTATAAATTTCATATAGGAGCATACTGTGCAATCTACTCTAGTTTTTTTAGCTCAATTCAAAAATGCTCACAACTTAATTTGAATGCAAAAGTTAGTATTCTTAAATGAATGTCATACCAGCTTGTCTGTTTGTCAATTTAATTTTGAGAAAATATTGATAGGAATATATACTCTCTTCAAATATTGGTGTTATAGCGAGGGTTGTCTAAAAAGTTGCTACCGGCAATAGCAATATATTTTTATGAATGGCAGCAAATTCTCCATATTTATCTTCGGAAAACTGAATTTTAGTTATACCCACGTGATACATTGACTCGCGTGGAAATAATATGATGATTTTCATGGTGATTTGCGAGATGAAGGACTTGAACTTCGTGTTGAAATTACCCAGCAGGCATCTGACGTTGAAACGACGTTGATAATTGGTTAATTTCAGGTTGAAATGTTTAACAATCAAAATCAAACGTCATATCAACGTCGAAACCTGACAGACACTAGAAGGGACGTAAAACAACGTTATTTCAACGTTGAAATACCGTCGATATTGATACGTTGAAATTTTACTAATTTTTAAACGTTGAATCAATGTTGATTTCAGGATGAATTGCTGAACAACCTAAATTCAACGTCCAATAAACTTCGAAAACTGACCAAAACTAGAACGGATGAAGAACAACCTTATTTCAACGTCAAAATAACGTCGATATTGGTACGTTGAATTTTTACAAATTTTTAAAAGTGGAATCAATGTTGATTTCAGGTTGAATTGCTGAACAACCTAAATTAAACGTCCGATCAACGCCGAAATCTGATCAAAACTGGAACGGACGCAAAACAATTTTATTTCTTCATTGAAACAACGTCAATATCCGTACGTTGAATGTATATTTATTTTTAAACGTTCAATCAATGTTGATTTCAGGTTGAAATGCTGAACAACCAAAATTAAACGTCCAATCAACGTCAAAATCTGACCAAAACTAGAGAGGACGTAAAACAACCTTATTTCAACTTTGAAAACTAGTCGATATCGGTACGTTGAATGTTTAACCATTTACCAGCATGGAACTATTGTTATCACACCAACATTGAATGAAATACATATATATAAGTGTACGATTAATGACCAGAGAATGCATTTCAATTGTCAAGGAGTAGAACAATTCTTTAGCTTATTGCTATTGCTCATGCACACGAGCTACCGTGGTCAAGGTTGCTAAGGCGTCGCGCGGTCTCCAGCGATCCCGGGTTCGAATCCTGCTACGGACAAAAAACAGGTTGGTTCTTCAACGTCGATTCAACCAGAGAATTTGACGTTGCAGCAACGTCGTAGTAGCAACATTGAATCAAAGTTGCATTGTAACGTCACTACGACGTTTCATGACAGACGTTGCTTCAATTTTCATTCTAAATCTCTTTTCACCCCGATCTCTATGTCGTAATAGGTAGTTGATTCGACGTTGATTCAACCACCGAATGCCTGCTGGGTAACGGATATATGTATAATGCCTAAGGCGTACTAACTAGCTCGGGTAACTTTTTATTTATAGTGGTTTTACTATTAAAAGCTATCATTCCCCCTGGAGTTTGATGGTCGGCACGACTGGGTAGTTTCACTTACTATATGTATGTCTAGATTGCTGGTTATATATTGTGTTCGCAATTCCGTGCATTTCATAATACACTTTTGAGAGCTTATCTAATAAATTATGATATGGTATGCTTATTTTGTCCAAGAATTGTAATAATTTCTGTTGGGCGTTTTTTATGATCGAGGCTCTCTACCATGTTGATGTTAGCTGTTTCAAATGTTGGCAGAAAAATTACTCAATTCGTGGATACAACAAGCATGCCTCATGCAAGTTCCAGGCTCGTATCGTGGATACAGCACGCATGCCTCACGCAAGTTCCAGGCTCGTATCGTGGATACAACACGCATGCCGCACGCAAGTTCCAGGCTCGTATCGTGAATACAACAGGCATGCCTCACGTAAGTTCCAGTCTCGTATCGTGGATACAACACGCATGCCTCACGTAAATTCCAGTCTCGTATCGTGTATACAACACGCAAGCCTCACGCAAGTTCCAGGCTCGTATCGTGGATACAACACGCATGCCGCACGCAAGTTCCAGGCTCGTATCGTGGAAACAACACGCATGCCTCACGTAAGTTCCAGTCTCGTATCGAGGATACAACACGCACGACTCACGTAAGTTCTAGTCTCGTATCGTAAATACAACACGCATGCCTCGCCTAAGTTCTAGTCTCGTATCGCAAATAAAGCACGCAAGCCTTATCCACTGGGGAATGAGGCGTCGCTGATTCATGTCTGAGGAACTTTCGGTCTGACCAAAGTTATTGAAAAATCGACGTTAGCGCCCGCGGTTACTTTGTTTATCAATATTGTGACATTGTGCACAAACGAATGGATCACCGAGGTAGGGGGGTTGCGGTGGATGCGTTGCCTTGATAGCCGTTATCTGCGACGCCCTCAGCTGCGCGGCTTGAGCAGGAACTTACATCCAACGATTTGAAGTTTAAAATAAGGTGCTATGGCCGGTTAGCACGTTAACTATGGACTGCTAATCCTGTTTTTGAAAAATTCGTTTTGTCAACGGTGTCGTCAACATTTTTTTGTTCTCCTCCTCCACCCAACATATTGATGATTTTTTCTGACGAATGTTGCAATATGTCTATTAAGGATATGCCGCACGTTGATTTGTTCAGGGACTACTGTCCACTGGCTGCTCCGTTGCCAGCTGATTAGATGCCCTCCATTCGTTCGTCGCTTGTGCCTCTTTGCCGTCCCAATGTAAACATCTCGCTGCTATTTAGGCCGCTTGCCACCAAAACTACTGCGTTGTTGTCACATGGAGTCAATACTGACGACTGTAACTCGATGGACTCGATACTGCCGACTGTAACTCGATAGAGTCGATACTGCCAATTGTAACTCGCTAGAGTCGATACAGCCGACTGTAACTCGCTAAAGTCGATACTGCCGACTGTAACTCGCTAGAGTCGGTACTGCTGAACTGTGACTCGATTAAGTCGATACTGCCGACTGTAAGTCGATTGAATCGACTGTAACTCGGCTCCTAATGTACATTTTGTTAGTGGACGTCCAAAGAGTGCCTCTACTGAGTACTCTCTAGATTTTTTGCCGCCGTACAGCAGGTCGAGTAACGCAGGGTTTGGTAGTGTGCCGACGACTATTTTATCGGTGATTGAGGGTCTGGTGAATTTAGGTTAATTGGGATGGAGCGCTAGGTAGAGGAAGAAGTAGGAATTGATGGAGGTTTCTAGTTTATATAAAACTGTCTTGACTATGCAATTAAATTACTTGAAAGAGTACTGAGTGAAATTTTTTGTTCCATTATAGGGGCCGCCCCAAAGGACAGACAGTCGGCTTAGAGGTGACTCAGGCGCCTATCGGCCACCTAACTGCAATCAGCGGCCATATAGGAGCCGAGATGATATTGTGGTACGTTTCACAAAATTCTTTCTGCAGTCTGACATGGAATTTTAAAATAACATGATAGCGATAACGGGCGAATAAAAGTAACTACTTATTGCGACATATATCACGTTCCTTATTCCAAACGTGTAACAATGCTTCAAATTCCGCCCGAATGCACTACAGCGATCTGCCAGATGCAGCACTAGTAACTGCAAGGCAACCAACTACAAAGTTCTAACCACAGTCCACTAACCAGTGTTCCGTCTGACAGCGTGGTTGACGGCGATTTGTGGGCTGTGTCCGAGGTTGCACTCATGACATTGAACTCAGTATATTAAGCTCTACCTGAGGATCGGGTTTCGTGACTAAGGTAGTGAGGGATATGTAAGACACATCTGTCCAGATAACGTGTCTTGTAAACCGGGTGGTAATACAGAGTAATGACACAAAGGATTAAGGTACGGCGTCATCCGTAAGGGCGGAGAGTTATACCGACACGCTACATCGCGGAGTGCTTATCAGCCACTGAGGGGCTTTACTTGAGGTTGCTTGACGTTATATAAGCTTCGCTTCCGTCTTGATCGCGTGATCGATCACGTGTCTTTGTGACACATATGTTGTATGGCAAGGTCTCAGTGACACCGTGGACTCAATGGCTAACTAGGTCTGCTGGTAAACACATTAGGACTTGTTTCCGCGACCTACTCTCGGACAGCTGTGTACAGATTTATGATGGAAAACTGGCATTTTAACAGAGGTAAGAAGGAAAACGTGCATCTGAGTATGTTATCGTTACTTTTTATGTCAAAGTGTAGGAGAAAATTGATTTTCACCTGTGAATTATGATAGATTTATTAGCACGCAATAAGCATGACTCATCGCTGCACGAGTATCGTGCATGGCTGGCTTTCACTCCAAGGACCTCACGAGTCACAACTGTTCGAAGAAATTTTCTTCATTTGTGCAAACGACATTGGTGACCGAACTTAGTCGCCACCAACTTAGGTTGTTACTTCACCTAGATGCTTTCTTTTGTTTGGTGCACAAAATTAGTAGCTAGACGCGTAAAATGTTCAACTAGGTTAGGTGGTGTTAGCTTGCTAGTAACATTGCGCATTTCTAACAAGTCGGCAACCCACCGTACGGTAAGGAACTCAGACTACAAACGGCCTCATGTTCTTTATAGTATGTAGGAATTTATTACCTTACTGGCTGCATAACAGGTCTTCTTTGATATGTTAATGATTTCAGTGAGTGAGTTTGTGGTATTAAGACTGGAACTGGTTCTATCTGTTGATTTGCTTGCAACTGAAACAGTTTGTTAACGGAACAAGTAAGCTTTCAAAAATGATTATTGCATGCTTCCTTTGGCATCATTAAATTTAAAATAATCCTACGAGAGCTCTGCATTAATGCAATGATGGGCCACTTTTTAATTTTTATTTTATTTGTAATGCATTTATTTTATGAAACTGCCGTGAATAATTCAGTTTCTCAATAACTTTAAAATAGATAAAAGAAATTACTTTGAAAATATGGTTTTGAATTCTTAATTCCTATAGAAATGAATATATTATCAAATTATTTAGGTTTTATAATGTTAAATTTTCTTATCTTTCCATTCAGGCAATGAATACTCCACTGGAGGAACTAAGGAATATTTGTTGCACTGCCATGCTACACCAAACCTAATTCTTGGTAAATTCCAGGCAAGAAAAGCTCAAAACGGTGAGAGTCTCATATTATTAGTTGTATATGAGATGCTAGAGTCTAACTGACATCTATTTTGCTCAATTCTTTTGTACATAAAAGTTTTTTTTAATCTGTAAACATATTGTCTGTTATGTTTATATATACCTAAACCAAAAGCATCAACCTCACATGACCAGCATGAGTCCCAGTGAAGAGCTATATTTTATATGAAAACTATGAAACTGCATTTATGAGTTTACAATGATGAAAACTATGTAATGCCTCTGAAACCTTTACAGATTAACTTAAATACCTTTCCACATTATCTTCCGTGTGAAGCAACTGACTTTTATTGAGACGAGTCGATTTTTTCCAGAGGCAACTTGAATTTGAAAATCATATGACGCAGACGTCTTTTTAAGTTATTTCAGTAGTCTGTAGTAGTCCAGTAGTAGTTGAATTATTGACTTGAATTAATGTAGAAAGCCGCTTGAAGCATAAACAATAAATTTTCGAGGATTTGACGATTTAAATATTTATTTATGAATATTTAAATACATATTTTAATATATTTAGTTTTGCTAGTACTCACAAACGAAATTGGAAGTCTACGGTCTATTCATTGTTTCGATACCTGCTATTAAAGCCATAACCCCTAGTCTAGCTATGCCCGTTCTCGTTTCAAATACACGAGCAATCATCCACGTGAAATTGTCTGTAAAAACACGCTCCATAAAACGCTTGACCTTGACTGTCTATCGCCGTAAATCTCTGCCAGATCTCTCTGAATAATGTGAAATGGAATTTAGTATTTCAATTTGCGCTATTTAACTCCTGACGAACCTAATTCTATATTTACCTCGTACTGGCATCCATGAAGGTGCAGCCATTGTGTTTCGGCAAGTTTTACACAAGTATGGCACTTCTATATGACATAATACTTCCACTACAAGAGTTAACTTTGTGCAAACATATTTCAGGGTTGCGAAGTGGCCGATGTAGCGTCCCAGTCGTCCGTCCCAGTTTGATGGTCTGCAAGTCCCAGTTCGGTGGTGCGGTCGCAAAGGTGACCGCACCACCAAAGTTCAATTGTACCACCAAAGTTCAATTGTACTGGGTTTCTAGTGCTGGTACGGTGGAAGAATGCATGATGCTGGAGACGTGGAAGAATGCATGGTAGTGTGACGTGGTAGAATGCATGGTGTTGTTGACGTGGAAGAATGCATGATACTGGAGACGTGGAAGAATGCATGGTAGTGTGTCGTGGTAGAATGCATGATACTGGAGACGTGGAAGAATGCATACGGTGCAGTGACTGTCTCTTATACACATCTAGANGTGACGTGGAAGAATGTATGGTGCTGGTGACGTAGAAGAATGCATGATACTGGAGACGTGGAAGAATGCATGATACTGGAGACGTGGAAGAATGCATATGGTGCTAATGATGTGGGAGAATGCATGGTGCTGGTGAGGTGGTAGAATGCATGGTGTTGGTGACGTGGTAGAATGCATGATGCTGGTGAGGTGGTAGAATGCAAGGTGCTGGTGAGGTGGTAGAATGCATGGTGCTTTTGGTGTGGTAGAATGCATGGTGTTGGTGACGTGGAAGAATGCATGATGCTGGTGAGGTGGTAGAATGCATGGTACTTTTGGTGTGGTAGAATGCATGGTGTTGGTGACGTGGAAGAATGCATGGTGCTTTTGATGTAGTAGAATGCATGGTGTTGGTGACGTGGTAGAATGCATGATGCTGGTGCGGTGGTAGAATGCATGGTGCTTTTGGTGTGGTAGAATGCATGGTGTTGGTGACGTGGAAGAATGCATGGTGCTATTGATGTGGTAGAATGCGTGGTGTTGGTGACGTAGAAGAATGCATGGTGCTGGTGAAGGGAAGAATGCATGGTGCCTTTGGTGTGGTAGAATGCATGGTGCTGGTGAGGTGGTAGAATGCACGGTGCTGGTGAAGTGTAAGAATGCATGGTGTTGATGACATTAATGCTATAAAATGGTGAGCTCCTGTTATTGAGGGACAATGTTGCGTCCGTTGATTTTTCCATTTGTATTTTGGCTTGAATTAGGTTATCAACTTGAATTATGTAAATTCATTTCGAAGCGGAAAGATTTCCAGGTTCTGAACGCTTTGTATCGTTTTCAAATTACATTATTGTGCCACTGATTGTATTTTCTTATTGTTTCCTCCTATCTTCGCTGAAACAGATACAGGTAACTTGGGTCATCGTGTGTCCCCTTCCTGCCTCCTTATAGAGGGGGCAGGTTGGGGCGTTTATTTTTGTCGCTTGTTTAGTCCGGCCTTGCCTCTCTGGAAAGCATCAGGCGCTTAACACGCGCTCCCCACGATCGCCCCAAGCTCGCCAGGTATTCGACAAGAATTTAATTCTGCGCTTATTTTGCTCCGGCTACCGGAACCTAAAGCGGACAAGGAGCCACTAATTTACGCGCCAGGCGATCTTGGGGCGTCCTTGTGCCAGTGGCTGACAGGAATGAAAATTTTGGTAGGGAAAGTTATGTGACATGAAACGGCAGTTAATTTAACTGTTTATCTTATAAAAAACGTGGTTCAATCAAAAGGATATGTGGATGTACTAGGCGAAATTGCACTGACTTGCATCAACTCGAAAAATTTAGTTTCATGTAGCGATTGGAATTTATTTCATTGGGAAACGATTTTGCCCTCATTTTAGAGAAACGCTATGTTAAAATGGTTACTAAAAAACTAACAACGTTATGAAGTTGAAACTTGTTTTTTTTAAAGAAGAACATTTTTATGGTAATATTTTATCCTATTACAATATTTTATTATTGTATTAGTTAAAATATTTATTATGTATTAATAATATGTATTAGTTTAAATATTGCATGTAATATTGTATCCTAGTTAGTTATTGTATCCTAAAAACTAGGATACAATATTACCATAAAAATGTTCTTCTTTTAAATAAAACAAGTTTCAACTTCATAACGTTCTTAGTTTTTTATTTATTAACAAATTAAAAGGGTCAGTTAATTATGGTTCACTCCCAGTTAAAATTTAGGGCAGGGAATAGAGCAGGCCGTCGCCGGCTGCAGAGCCGACGTAGAGACGCGACAGAGCAGCGATAGAGCAGAAATATCCGCTTTAGAGACGATATCGCCAGCCGCGTATCAGCGCTAATTAGCTTCTGAGTACCTGCCCAGGTGTGCTCTGCCCTGCCGTCACGCAGCCCTTACTGAGCACCGCCTGCTCAAACCTGCCCAACGCCTGCTCTGGGGCGGCTCTGGCAGCGTACGCGGCAGTTACGCGTCACCGTTTGTCAACAACGATTTAAAAAAAATTGTTCCTTCTCTCTCTGAGATCACCTAGACTTCTCTCTTGCAATGACAGGTTGTATTGACATTGGTTACTGACATTCTCTTCGTATTAACTTTAGCAACGTAATTTAGAATAGAACAAATTCAATTATCGAGGAAATATACACATCAAATTACTCACCGCTATGAACTATCTGCAAACGTCGACTGAAGCTCCGGGATTCGAACGCAGATTCTCCGCGTCGTACTCCACGCCTGTACCAGTTGACCGCGCGGACACCTTACCATGTTAGGCTCTATGAACTTGATTAAATAGGGATTTTAATAAAATATATTTTATATATAGAGAGAGAGACGTTTCCTATCGTCTCATATCTTTTAA